TTTTTTTTTTTCAATTTGATAGACATAACATGCTATTGGATTTTTAATTTCCCTCTGATTACTAGGCTTTTTTTCATGTGTTCATTGGGCATTTATAGTATTTTTCTGGGAATCATTTCTGTTCTCGGGTTATTTTTCTTTTGAGGGCTTAATAATTTTTAAAAATTTGATTTGTAAGAATTTTTTATATACCAAAAGTTAAAAGCTTTTTGTTTTTCTTTTGGTAAATGTTTTTCTTAGTTTATTTACCTTTTAATTTTCTTAATTGGATTATCTAAATATAGAAGTTTTATATTTTTACATAGTCACATTCTTCATTTTAAAATGACTTTTTCATGAGTTTTAAGCTCAGAAGCTGTTTCCCATTTAGAAATTCAGTAAACATTCACTTAGATATTTTTTTTAAAGTGGAATTTTTTCTCTTCCATTTTATTGGCTATATTTAGCCACTTCTCTAGTTTGAACTTTAGAATCACTTTGTCAAGTTCCAAAAAAATAGAAAGTCCTACTAGAACTGTTTATTAGAATGGATTAACTCCTTATTCTTATACTTTTATTTCTAGGACTTAAAAAAAAACCAAACTACCATTCTTTATTGTGATTGAGATTACTACTTCCTGTTCCCAGTTCTCCCTTTTTCTTCCCACTTATCAGTAGATCAATTGGATGCTTATGGAGGTGAGGGCCTTGCATGAAATAGCTGGAATTGGTATCAAATCATTGAAAAATGGGCTAGGGTAATTTCCTTACTCTGGTTAATGGAACTGGTTTCTCTGAAGCTGAGTAAATGGTAAATAAAGCAGGTACAAACTTCTATTGTCTTTCTGTCTGACATTACTATTGTGCACTTTGAAATTATTCTTGAAGTTTCCTAGATTTTATAAAGATTTTTGGTTTCCAAGGCTCTTAAAACTTTATATTTCTTCAGTTTTTTCATGAGGTTTTGTTTTTATGAAAAGGGTTGGGTGGGATAACGTAGACTCGGGGAAAGTTTTCATCTAAACTTAGAAATTCTAAAGCTAGTTGTTTGTTTTCTGTTTTTTGACAATGTTATGGATTATTGAATAACTAGTATTTGACTTCCTGAGAAGTGGTGTATTAAGATACATGTGCATATAAGAACTTGAATTTACAAATAAGTACAGAGGTTATTTCCTATTTTTATGTTTCAGGGTTGTTGTGTCAATGCTAATAATGAAAAATACTACCACCCATCTGCTTTTAGATCGAAATGTTGCAGCAGCAGAGAGAAGAACATGAAAAAACCAAGGAAAAGATGACCATGGAGTATAAGCAGGAGTTAATGAAACTACATGAAGAAGTGAGATTGTGGTTCTGTTACATGTTGGATAGTTCTCTCTCCTTCATGCTTGACAATTTTGTTAATGAGAACCAGTTTCTACTTTGTAAAGTGGAAAGCACATATTCCACACATGGGAGTGGAAATCTATTCTCTGTTCTTTACTCTAGGCAAGGAGTCTCGCCTAATTATATGCCTGATACTACCTAGAATAGAGATTCTAAAATATGTTTCTTGGTTGAATACCTAAAAATAAAGAACTATTTCTGTATAATACTGTAGAATATTGATACCAAAAATATGTTTAACATTTTAATTTTGCTTAAGTTAATTGATTTCAAATAATGGAGGATCCCAAGATTTAAGAAGCGTTTGGGGATAAGTACGAAAAGCAAGAAAATTCTATCCATTAACTTAATTTTATTCTTTAGATTTGGAAAAAACTGCTTTTATTTTGATTCAATTCCAAAGTACTCTTCGCCTCCTTACTGAGTAATTACTCTCACAGGAGTAATACCTTGAGAACCACAGGCTTAGAGGAAAGAAAAAGAGTTTTTATTTGCTTTTATTATGGGGGTAGGTGGTGGGGGTCTTTAAGTGCAAGGCTATTATAATAAAAACTAAAGTTTTGTTTAAAAATTTTCTTTTATATTTTCTTTCAATATATTTCTTTGCTAGTGTTTATTTTACATATGTAATATTTAGTTTGGAAATCTAATGTGTTCTCAGTCCTCCCAAATGGTACTGGTTCGCACTGCTTTTGCTTTCATGAAACCAATTTGTCCTACCACAACTATTTACAAATTCTCAAATTTTAAGTATAGAAGTAACTGTCTCTACAGTTAGGAAGACTGAAGAGAAGCTATGAAAAGCTGCAGAAAAAGCAAATAAGGGAATTCAGAGAAAACACCAAAAATCCCGGGGAAGATCGATTTGAAATTGAGAGGTTAACTGGAAAAATAGAGGTATGTTCATAGTAATAATTTGTTCCTGGTGATTGTCAGTTTTCATGTAGGAAAATGCTGTTTCTAATGGGGCTATTTCCTAAAACCAATTTTCTACCCTCTCTAGGACTGCCACTGAGCTATTTCAAAGGTGGGAGGGCGATCCGCTGTACATCCTATCATAATCTGGTTCCCTAGGGGTAACAGGGTTACTATCTAGCAGTAGTTCTCAACAGGGCAGTGCCACCTTTAGAAGGCATTTGCAAATGTATGGAGGCATTTTTTTGTTGTCAGAATGACTGTGCTGAAAACTGGCATTTAAAGGATAGGAACCAGGGACACTAAACATGTCTGGGACAAATCCACATGGGAAGGATTGTTGTACCCCGAATGCCAGTGTCCCTCATTGCAAAACATTGACTGGCAGTTACTGCCTGTCCATCATGGGTCGTGTCCTTGTCCTTGTTCTTGTCTTATTCCTTGTTGTACCTCAAGCCCTAAAAGAGTAAGAGCTTAGTAAATGTTGAGCATACATGGCACTTTCTGTGCAGAGTATCCTGCATATCAGATTGTTTATCCTTAGTTCCCATTTAGATATAGTAAGTCATGCATCTTCCTCTTTGGTGACCTTGTTTTGGTTAAGACTGAGTAACTCCATGATCATTAAATATATTGAGGACTTAAGGGGAGGTAGTGAACTAATGTTGCCAAGATTAGATGGAGGAGCAGCATAAGGCTATTATTCCCTTTCTCTGTCTTTGCCATTATTTCTCAGCATACAAAAGAACCCCCAAGCTGCTTTTAGGCTCTCAGAAATTCTGCCGTAGTAATACAGCGTGGCACCTAGGGAATCTGCGTTTTATTCAGCTTCCCTGGCTGATTCTAATTTGAGAAACATTGTTCAGCATCTTTGTGTGATTACTTGTAAGATTTCTATTCTGGACAACCTGTCACCCACAGATGGCAATATATTATTAGTACTTAAAATTGTAATTTCTATGTTTAATTCTTTCATATATCAATATTTCTATATATTTGAAGAGCACAGAATCAGGGGACTATCCAGATACTGCTTCCATTCCAGCCCTTTTCAATGATACGTTTTCTCTCTCAAACCCTCTATGTCCTTCTTGCTACTTCCTGACCATTTTCTGTTCTTTTTTACATCCCAAACCCCATCTTTGATTTTCATGTCATCAGCCTATACCACCAACCAATGTACATAACAACCAGGGCAGTCATATTCTGATCTCTGGGTTACTTCCCTGGCTCATAGGTTTCAGCTCCTAGCTCATGTCACCCCGTCCAACATTATTCTTACCTTAACTTTGAGGATTTCAGCATTCACAAGGATGATGCTTATAAATACTCTGACCTCTGAGTTTCAGGGTCATAGATATTCTGATTTACATCCCCTCTAGAGTCACATTTTTAAATATCTGACTCTACCATCCCTGTCTTTTTAGCTTAGTCCTTCTCTAAGGGCTAAGTCTTGACTTTCAATAATCATTAACTATCCCTTAAAGCGATTGAATTCTGCCACCTTTTCACTGGTCCTTATCTACCATGTGTCCTCACTCATCTGTCCTTACGCAGCTTAAATTGTGCAGTTGCATTCCTTACTTTGCCCTTCATCTCCTCTGTTCCTCTCTTGCTTCATCACATTTGTGTGGCAAAACCACAACTACCATTAAGTCTCCCTTTCTGCCCACTGTCTATCTGCTGTATGTAGCTTGAGACAGGTGTAACCATACTGGCTGACCTCATTTTAAATTCACAGTCACTAACCTCAGATGGGTCCTGTTGCTACTCAGGATCATATTGTATTTCCTCTCAATCACCTGCTTTCCGCAGTAACTGTTTTGTACTCTCCTCTCCCCCCTCAACCTTCAGTAGTTTTCCCCACATCCTCACCTGGGGATGATATCTCACTTTCTGTTTAGATTTCTAACTCTGCGTCTACCCCCACCTATCTGTATCTGTGCCCATTACCCTTTCTTCTCTCCTGGAGGAGCTGTCCAGGTCCTCCTCATCCCCTATCCTCTAGCAATTATCCTTCTCCTTTCTGCATCCTCTGTGTTTCACTCCTTACTGGATATTTTTTGCCAGCACACATATTTCTGCCCTCTTAAACATCCTCTCTCGACCTTTCTTATGCCCTATTTTTCTCCTTCGCTTTATAACTAAATCACTTCTGGCATCTATACTTGTCTCCAACTCCTATGGTCCCATTTTTCTTGTACCCACTTAGTGAGGCTTAGTCCCCTTACATTACAGAAACTATTTACATGGACGTCACCAGTGACCTCTGCTTTCTTTCTTTTCTTTTTGAGACAGAGCCTCAAGCTGTCACCCTGGGTAGAGTGCTGGGACCCAGCAGGCGCCCGCCACAACGCCCGGCTATTTTTTGGTTGCAGTTGTCATTGTTGTTTGGCGGGTCTGGGCTGGATTTGAACCTGCCACCTTAGGTCTATGTGGCTGGCGCCTTAGCCACTTGAACCACAGGCGCCGGGCTGACTTCTGCTTTCTCAAAGTCTTTAGGCTGGTCCTTACCTTCCTCATCCTGTGTGCAGCATCGTATCCATCTGGTCTTTCACTCCCTAAAACACTCACTTGATTGGCTTGAGAAAAATCACATTTCCCTCGTTTTTCTCCTATGTTATTAGCTACTCTTTCTCAATCTTCTTTGCTCCCCAAACTTTTTTTTTAAATAAAATCTGACGTTTTATTTATTTATTTTAAATCTCACTTCATCACCCTAGATAGTGCCGTGGTGTCACAGCTCACAGCAACCTCCAGTTCCTGGGCTTAGGCGATTCTCCTGCCTCAGCCTCCCGAGTAGCTGGGACTACAGGTGCCTGCCACAACGCCTGGCTATTTTTTTGTTGCAGTTTGGCCAGGGCCGGGTTTGAACCTGCCACCCTCGGTATATGGGGCTGGCGCCCTGCCCACTGAGCCACAGGCACCACCTGCTCCCCAAACTTTTAATATTGTTTGGAATGAAAACCCTAGGATCGTGTCATTGGACTTTTGTTTTTCTTTATCTGAGCTCATTCCCCTGGTGATTTCCCTCAGTCTTATAGCTTTAACACTGTGTATACATTGACAGTTCCCAAATTTATGTATTTAATGTGACCTCTCCTCTTTGTTTACTGAATAACTTTCAAATGCCTGTTTTACCTCTCCAATATAATGCCTAAAACTACCAAAATTAATGTGTTCAAAATAAAGGCCTGTAGCTCAGTGGTTAGGGCGCTGGCCACATGTTCCTGGATTGGTGGGTTCCAACCCAGCTTGGGCCTGCTAAACAAACAAACAAACAAACAAACAAAATAGCTGGGCGTTGTGGTGGGCACCTGTAGTCCCAGCTACTCGGGAGGCTGAGGCAAGAGAATCGCCTGAGCCTAAGAGTTTGACGTTGCTGTGAGCTGTGACATCATAGTACTCTAACAAGGGCAGGGGACAAAAGGAGACTGTGTCTCAGAAACAAACAAATAAACCAAGCTTGGAGTCATCTTTGATTTGCTTCTGTTGCAATGTAAATCAGATCATGTTACCTCCTGTGCAAAAACCTTCTGGTAGCTTCTCTTAAAAGCCAGAGTTGGCCTAATGACTTACATGATCTCACCCGTAGGTAACTCTCTGGCCTTGTCTCTCTTTATTTTCCTTTCACTCCCTTTTCCTTCACCAGCCTTCTTGCTCACCCTTAAACACACCAGGATACTCCTACTTCAAGGCTCTTCCTTCTGCCCAGAATAGTATAACTTCATTCCCATCTCTGGTGTTTACTTAAATGTTATTTACTCAGTCTGGTGATCCCTTTTAAAAATTGCAACCCCCAAATTAGCTGGATGTGGTGGTACACGCCTATAGTCCCAGCTACTGTGGACTGAGGCAGGAGGATTCCTTGAACTAAGGTTCAAGGTTGCAGTGAGCTGTGATGATGCAACTGCACTCCATCCTGGGTGAAGGAGTGAGACCTCTTTTTAGACCTTGTCTTAAAAAAAAAAAATTGCAGCCCCAACTTTGAGCGCTCCAGGATCTGTTTTCTCTAAAACACACATTACCATCTAATGCGCTACGTACAATGAATGTGTTATCTATTTATTGCCATCCAACCAAGTGGGGCTAGAACTTTTGTTTGTTTTACTAAATATTGTATCCCCAACACCTAAAACAGTACCTGGCATACATAGTAGAGCAATTGAATGAATGAATGAATGAATATTAGAAATCTGGTTAACAGCGATTATCCTAGGGAGCGTAAGACTTCTGGAGGTGAGGGTCCTAGACAGTGATAGAAAGGTGGGGTTTCCTTTCCCTTTGATTTGCTCTATTTTTATAAATATTTGGCTCATTTTCTTGCTTATACAATTTGAAATTATTGTTGATCCCTTGTTAATTTGGAATAGTTTGGCTTTGGGTTATAGATATCTGTTAAACTCTAGTACAGATTTTCCTGTTACTCAAACCTTTGTAGTTCTGTGAGAGAATAAATAATGATTTAGATATCAAAGTAAGATTTGGGCTACCGAAAATTAAATTTTATTTTAATTTGTTCAATTTCTGGGTCTAGAGATCTAAAATTTGGATAATGAAGGATATCTGTAATCAGCCTTTGAAATTTTAGTTATCTTAGCATCAGTTTTCTGAAAAATCACTAGAAAATTCTAACAACCCTTAGGTGGCAGCAAATCGATGAAAATTGTCATGAATCCTGTATTTAGCATCTTTGTTTCGTATTTGTGCTCTTCACCATTAGGGTGTTAAATTTAGACGGACAGATATCCAGGGGCACAGTGTGTGAGGAACTGAGTATTACCCTACAGTTCTGTCAGCTAAGTGAGTAATGGGGCTCCTGCTGTGGAGAAAGGGGCCAGTGTATCCAGGGACATGGGGAAAAATTAAAGTTGAAGTGGGGCTGGGAAGGAGTGACTGCGAGGAGGTACACTTTTAGAAGCTAAGTACTATAATTGCCTCCTTAGGAATTTCGTCAGAAATCTCTGGACTGGGAGAAACAACGCTTGATTTACCAGCAACAGGTATCTTCTCTGGAGGCACAAAGGAAGGCTCTGGCTGAACAGTCAGAGATAATTCAGGTAGGCTTAAGATATTTTGAAATAATGAGAAGCAGACAGGTTTTGATCAAATTTTACTACCCTGATGCAACTTCCTGGTGCAAGGAAGCCTCTTTCAGCTTCTCACCACCAACCCTGATCTCTTTCTTGTGTAGACAGCCTTTCCTCCTCTGATTATAGGCTTCTCCTCTGCAGCATGTAGACATGTCTCCTCCCTGCCTTGCACACACACACTCGCTCTTCTCCCCAGGCGCATGTCCTCTGCCGGCTTGTTCCTGGCTGCCTGGCTTGTTTCTCCCTGGCTCGCTCAGTCTCCGTCTTGCCCACTCTGCACTCAGTCCGTGTTCACTCCCCTGATGTTGGTGTCCAGCGTTCTCTTCCCGCTCCTCCCTCTCACCCCCACCCCCACCCTGTCTTTGTGTCTCCTTGTCCACGTCCCTGGGTCTCTTGGCTCTACTTCTGTGCATGCCTTACTGCACCTCTGTACTGAGAAGTTACACTGCACTGATACGCACACTAACTAAAAGTAGTGTCTTTGTGGTAACAGAAACACTTTTTTTGAGTACTGGTAGAAAGTTTTCTTTTAGCGGCTTAAGCAAAACCAAAAAATAGACACCTAATTTAGGAATGTGTTTTCTTAGAACAAAGCTTGTTTGCTTTTTCAGTTAGAATGAAGAACATAAAGGAAAATGAACATGGGAGAAATGAATATTGTGATCTTCTATTATGGGCTAGATACTGTCTCAGTACTTCTAGAGGAGTTTGTATATGTCATCTATTAAATATCATGGCAGTCTGTTAAGGTTGATAGTTATTTCTATTTATTGGATAAGGGAAGAAACTGGATAAAAGAGCTAAAGGGAAGATGTTTTTATGTTTTGCTTTTATAATCTGTGTATTTGCTGCTTTAAGTCAGGTAATGCATAGTTTTTTTTGTTTGTCTCTGAAATACCAGCTATCTAATGGTGGTGCTGCTGTGAGTGGCTCTACTGAAAAATGGCAGGTCCATAGCAACTCCAAGGGAGAAAATTATCTTCTAGGCTGCAGCAAGCTGATAGCCAGAGCAGGCCAATGCATTTCTGAGATGTCTAGACCAGGATTTTTTGATCTGACTACTAAAGTACTATATCCTAATTGTTGCCTTCAGATTGGCAAAAAAGCATATTGAGTCTGAATTTTTATAGTTCTCACTTTTTCATAGAGTATGGTTATTGATTGTAAATGTTCTTTTCAAGTAACTGTTATTTTAGTTCAAATAACTGTTGTAATTATTGACTCTACATAGTTAAAACTTCATTGTTAGTAAAAATGAAGTTTTTATTTATCATAATTCAGCTAGGGCTAGAATAAGAAGCCTTTAAAAAGCAAATATTTGTGTTCCTGAGTAAGAGTATTTGAATTATTCCTCCAGTTGTTTTGTTTAAACTAAAACTGTCTAATTGTTTAATTAAAAAAAAGTTAACTTATAATTCTGTTTCTCCCTTAGCAAACTAAACAGAATAAACCTGTGGTTGAGTATGTACCAGTGCTGTATGATCATTTTATTTATTTCAGACAGAGTCTCATTATGCCACCCTTGGTAGAGTACTGTGGCGTCACAACTCACAGCAACCTCCAACTCTTGAGCTTAAGTGATTCTCTTGCCTCAGCCTCCCAAGTAGCTGGGACTACAGGCACCTGCCAGTGCCCAGCTATTTTTTATTGCAGTTGTCATTGTTGTTTTAGCTGCCCAGAACCCGCCAGCCTCGGTATGTGAGGCTGGCGCTATAACTACTGTGCTACGGGCACTGAGCCTGATGATTTATTTTAAACATCTAAGTAAATCTTTATATACCAACTACCTAGCAGTAATAGTTATTATCTTGCCAGTCTTTTCTTTTTATTTTGGTAAAAAATACAACAAAATTTGCCACCTTAACTATTTTTAAGAGTATAGTACAATAATGGTGACTATATGCACATTTTGTAAAATGAAATTCTATACTTTTCCCTTTTTATTTTTGCCTAGAATATTACAAAGCCAATCACAGCTTATTTCCCAACTTAGATAAGGACTTAAAAAACCTACAGTATACAGTATCACATTAATGGAATAAATAATAACAATATAATTTAATCTCCAGTTTGTTCAGATTTCCTCAGTTGCCTAAAAACTGTCTTTTTATAGTTGGATATTTGAGTTGGAATCCAGTCAAGGATGCCACCTTGTATTTGGTTAATTATGTATTGGTTAACAATAACAGTAGAAAATCTGGGAGATTTTGTAAGTGGATATTTACGTCCTCCCCCAGTCCCATTAAAAGGAATTCTGATAATTTTTTTTTCTTATATGTTTTTAACATCTAAAAGTGGAATTCAGAAATTTCTTACTTTTTCTTTTTTCATTGCAATCATGGGTACAGTGTGCTGTTTTCATAAACATTTTGAAATACTCTCATCAAACT